GGGCAGAACAGTCCTAGGAACAGTCTCTGGGGCAAGATGATATGGAGACTCTCAAGCCTTGGAAGGAGGAATCTGAGAGTGGATCATTCCTCCTCCCCCACATTCCTGCCATGGAAAGTACTGTGGTGCGCACGGTACACATCCAGAGATTTTGTGCTGGTAGGAAGCCCCTTTAAACATGCGTTGTTGCTTTGTTGCTAGTTGTGAAGTTGTGTTTGACCCATCGCGACCCCATGGACAACATTCCTCCAGGACTTCCTGTCCTCCACCATCCCCCGGAGTCCACTTAAGCTCACACCGACTGCTTCAGTGACTCCATCTAGCCACCTCATCCTCTGCCGTCCCCTTCTTCTTTTGCCATCTATTGTTCCCAGCATTAGGCTCTTCTCCAGTGAGTCCTTCCTTCTCATTTGGTGGCCAAAGTATTTGAGTTCCATCTTCAGTATCTGGCCTTCTAAAGAGCAGTCAGGGTTGATCTCCTCTAGGACTGACTGGTTTGATCGCCTTGCAGTCCAAGGGACAGGAGTCTCCTCCAGCACCGCAATTTAAAGACCTCAGTTCTTTGGCACTCAGCCTTCCTTATGGTCCAACTTTCACAGCCATACATTGCAACTGGGAAAACCATAACCTTGACTATATGCACTTTTGTTGGCAGGGTGATGTCTCTGCTTTAAACCTGAAGGAATCCTAAATATTCAGAAATAATAGGGAAAGCATGTAACTTGATATGTTTAGAAGGTAGCTACGTAAATTGCAACTGAGAAGTTGCTTCAGTTCCTGGTAGTTCACATCTGACAGGATTACAAAAGAAAAGGTTCTCTACATGGGCTGTTCCGAATCTGAGTAGTGATAAATCTGTATACAGCATAAAGCCAAGTGCAACTTCCATCCGGTACCATTCTGTCACCTCTTTTTCCACTGCTTTTCTCCTTGGCATTATTCCTTTACTCATTATTCCTTTACTCTCTCCAATTTGCTCCTGCAGTCCTCCCTCTCATGATGATTCCTGCCATGATGCCCACCTTTTCTTGTATCTGCTGCAGGGACCCCATTTTTTAAGTGGTTGTGGAGGATGCCTAAGGTCATCCAATATTAAAAGTTAAATTCAAAAGGAACTCCGAGTGACTGAGAAGGCACAGTTCAAGAGATACGAACTCACTTTTCAGAACTGGGTTCCTTTATTCACCCTCCGCTTTCATTCTGTACATTAGCCCCCGCCTGATGCCCCTCTCTACAGCCGAACTCTGCTCTCAAGGAACAGCAAACAAGGCAGCAGCATCGTTGCCGAGTCCTAGAAAATGGGGCTGCATAAATGGCCTTGACTATGATAGCAGTTTGATCAAGGGAGAACCTGAACATGGTAACCTTCCTTTGCCAGTTTTAACAGGGGCTTCTCTCTGTTCTTTCTGCTGGTCTGCTGATCTCCTCTTTCAGTGTCTTCTGCTACAGCAGTTAGTTGAGTGGGGCAGGTTTGGCCTAGGCAAAATCCTCACACATCTTCATCTTGAAGTCTACACTTTCAGAATTCTTAGGTCTCTTGGAACTCTCAAGAAACTCTGCTTGGTCACTGTTCTCTGAGCAAGAGACCTCTACACTTAGACATCAAGCAAACAACCTGAGTGACTTCAAGTAATTTTGTGCATCACAGTTCACAAGATTAGATTGCGTAGCAGAGTTAAGAAATGCGGAGTAGTGATTTGAAAACTTGTGTGCAGTCTGATCCTGCCCCTCCCCTCCCCTTACTCCTCATTACTTCATAAGTTAAGGTGGCATTCAGACTGTGCTGAACAGAGATGCTCTTCCCCTCAAATTTCAGGATGGCAACTTTAAAATCAGCCCTTTTGTGTTGCAGGGTGGCAGCTTTCTCCAGCTTTTGTTCGTGCATCAGTTGCATCTCTGCTTGGAAGCAATCATCCTTGCCAAAGTTATCTGTAGACAAAATGTTAACTCGACTCAAAGTCTCTTCTGACATCTCCCTAAATGAAATTTAATAGCCTTTAAATTTTGCTTCTCAATCTTTGCAAGGACAGTTTTGTACCCCTAATCACTAACAGTTTAAACAAGAAATCCTAAAGTGACATGTTGCTACCCCCTTGTGGTAAATTTTCTCAACTACAGTAGCCAACCATTGTAACACAACTGGTAAAACAGTTTTCCTTTTCTTTTTACTTTTTCATGGTACAATTTTTCCCCACTTCTGAGATGTTAGGATGTTGTATTGAATCACACCATGTTAGATCTTGTTAGGGTATAGACCCATTAGTATTTATTAGGCAGTAGACAATAGGAATGAGCACAATAACCCAGTGGGGCTATCTTTAAAAGTTACTTATCCCTGAATATTCCATAAATATCCCAGGCAGATATTCTTTTTTCAGTTTTGGTACACTTGAGGATCATGAAATTATCCCGATTAAAGATCATCTCGGACCTGTTAGACCTGTTTAGTTGGAAACAAGTGAAAAGAGAGTGTGGTTTATTCTTATAACAACAAGACCTCCTGCTTTCCATGGGCTAGCTCATGTTTGTGGCTTTAAAGCTGCATGGTATGAGAGCAACTGGGGAAGTCCTACTGTTGCCTACCAAACAGCTTGTCTTCATTGATTCTTGCTTTGCATAGTAGACCCTGGACGCCAATTTTGTGTTTGGCTCAGTAGAGCAAGTCAATTTGTCTAATTTGTCAAGCTGGTTCAGTGTCTGCCACAGATTTGCCAAGTGGCAGCTAAATGGGACAACGATGAAGAGACTTGACACTTCCTGTAGCTATTCGTTGTGCAGATTTCATTTAGTCAAACCAGGACAGCTTTGAGAGGAGACGGCCGAATTTCCTTATAGAATTTTGTTGGCAAGAATACTGCCTGTTCCATGGCTTCTTGTCAGGAAAAGTTGGAGCAGGAAGAAGCTTGTTATAATTCTCTGTGCTATTCTTTTGTTCCAGCTTGATGAGTGGAGTTAAAAACAATGTTGGGAGAGGCATTAATCTAGCTTTGGTAAATGGTAAGTGACTGTGTTAATTATATAAATGCTATCAGTTTAAATGCACATCAGTTCTTTTCAGGCACAAGTAATGAAACCTGGATGCAGGGAAGGAGAATTAATCATTAGTAGAAGGCATTTACAAACTGAATGCCACAAACAGTCGTAAATACTGTATATTGACAAATGAGGTCTAAACAAACTCTGCAGTGTGCACTACTTTTGTTCAGTATTCTTTCAAGCTAATCCATCCTTCCTCCCCTCCCTTGGTTTTCTTCTTTTTACTCCAACCCCCAGCATTCAGGTGTCATCCTAAGCTCAATGAACAATCTCAGTGGGCTGTTTGAGGTGCTAACCCCGTAGGAGGTTTTTTCCCTCCTAAAGATCTGCTGTTCCTAGGATCATTCCTGAACCTACTAATACTTCTTTCTTGTATGCAAGTGATGCTATTTTGGCTAGATAAGCAACAATACCCATGGTCTGAACATCGGGAACAGATGGAACAAGTAGGCCCTGGAAAAAAGGACTTCCAGTGTAAAACCATTCCTGTTCAAATTTCCACCCAGTTGTGTGCTTTCTAGGATGCTTCAACCCATTCCTAGTTGCTCTGTGTAGTTTTCCATTTTTGTCTGGCAACAAGTTAGCATTTTGTGCCCCTGAACATTCTTAGTTCTCATTGGGCCAATGCCATTTTACTTTTGAAGGATTTTTGGTACTTTTCAAGACCTTTCAGGTTTCCCAGGTTGGCCAATTCCTCTCTCTCCCGTGTGGGAAGTTGTCATTTCAGTTATCTAAGGATCAGTACTCAGAGAATGAGCTTGGTATTAATATTTCATTTGATCTTAATCTTTTGATAAATGACCTGATAGAATTTCTCTGGTTGTACTACAGCTAACTGAAATGCTTTGATTAGTTCATTCCCACATAAAACACGCAATAATTGATTTGGATCCTGCTGGTCCAGCTCTTCTTCCTGGATTTTCTGAGGCCACTGAGAATTAGAAATAATGTTAGAAAGAGGCTGCTATAGACACACCCCACCACCTTCATGAATGGGTTGGAAGCTTAGCCTGAAGGAAAATACCGTATTCACTTTGCACTGTGCTTTCAACAGCATCCCAAATTAAAATGAGTTCTTTTGCAGTAAATCTGAGCAGAAATCTTCCTGCCAAAATTTGAATCAGTTTAATGTGGCATTTACTCCCTAAATCTGTGCTGCTTTGGATTAGGCAACCCACTTACTGGCAGACTGGTTGAGTTCCATTTGAAGGGATTTATGTGTATATATCAGTACATCTTTCCCTCTTGGCATACACAAAGTGTAATGCAAGAACACACCCACTTAATCTTTCTCTTAATCTTTAAGAGACCATCTTTGAAAGCTTCACAGAGCAGCAGACCACTTCCCATTACAAAAAGTACAAACATGTGTGGCACCGGCAGCAATATTCTTGTGTGCTTTGCACCTGCTGCTGTAGAGGGCAATTTCTGTGAAGAGAAAAACCTGGTCGGAGTTCTGGATAAGTGTTTTTCAAATTCTGGTTACCAGCTTTAAAAATGTTGAGTGACAGCTGGAATAAAGTGTCCAGCATCAAAACATTTCAGGTTTTGGAGAAGTTCCTTATAAGCAAAAATAGTTTATGCTGTGATTTTTGGGGGAAAAACCCCTTTTTAAAAGGCTACCGTTCTTTTTAGAGGCTACAGTTTTCTAGCTTTTTAGGGAGTCTTACTGAATGCAGTGGGACTTATGTCTGAGTAATTATGCATACGTTTGCTCTGCATATCATGTTGTTACTCTTTTCTAGGCAAAACAGGTGAACCAGTGGACACAAAGTACTTTGATATGTGGGGTGGAGGTAAGTGCAAACATTGTGCTTCTTACATTAAAAATAATTGTTAGCAAGACTAAAGCTGTTTTTGTCTCACTTTGCTTATTTGGCATTAGTGAGCATCCCTTGCCCATTTTTAATTACATGCATTTTATCAAAACTAGAGCTGAGTCAAGTATTTCCTGTCTGAATGTGAAAGTCTGAATTCTGATGTGAAATGAGAATGTTTGAATTTAAAATTTTAAAAATGAGAATGAGACTCCTTATGTTACAAAACTTGGGTGCTTTACATCTGTTGGCATCTCTTGAGTGTTTGCTGGTAGTAAATATAACCTCCCCCTAAACTGTCATTTATCAGATACTAACAATCTTTGCATGTTGTTCATTTCTATGCTAACAAAATGTTTCAGCCACAAGAGCATGCAGAACATGTTATGGGTGCATGATTGGCTCCCAGTGGGCAATAGAAAGTCTTGGCAGTGCAGTGCTTATAGGAATGTTGTGGTTGATGCGGCAGGATTCCTTAATAAACTAATCAGTGTGTTAAGCATGGTAGACAGTTTGCAAACCATAAATATTAGAATTGTATATTGACCATCAACACCATCCAATGAAAAATACTGATGCATATTGCATATCAAATACTGTCAAATATCAACCAATTCCTTTTTGACCAATTCATTTCGGAGACTGTCTTGAGAATACCTGACATGAAAACATAGCGAAAAAAACAATTTGAGGATAATTCTTCAAAGCTCCTAAATAGAACAGATTTGCTGTTATGGAGCTCTGTGTTTTAAAGTTAACACTGAAAAACATTGTTCATGTGGTTAAGTTGCAGGTTGTATGTGTGACTACATTGTTCTCTAATGAAGTGTGCTTCCATTGGGTTTAGATGTAGCTCCATTTATTGACTTCCTGAAGAAAATTCCAGAGGGAACTATTGTATTAATGGCAACGTATGATGATGGTGCCACTAAGTAAGTCTGTAGGAAATGTAGATCATTTTATTTGGTATCGTTTTTGGATTCCTCCTGTGTATGTAAAACATCAGTCTTGAAAATCAGTCTTGCAGAGTAACTCCTGCTGTCAAGTATTATGTGGTAAATAGCAGTTATGTGGGTCCCTAATCCAGATCAAACTTCTGCTGGATCTCCATCTGGACCAAAGCCACCACCTCATATGCTGCTTACATTGGAAGAAGAGCCATTAGTTTGAATGGGAGTGTTCTTTCCAATGCCAGTAGCAAGAATGGATGGGCAGACTGATCCCAGCTTATGAATGTACTGTGTCCTGTATAACCATTAGGAACCATGTGTTCTTCTGATTTATTTGAATATATAAGCCATAAAACTTACATGGAGAATAGTTGCGAGACTTGCCCTTGCAGAGGCCACACATCTGGAGCCTGCAACTCTTAAGGGCAGTGGCCCATGCGAGCAGGGTAGGCAGAAGAGTGTGTGCATGTGTACTTGAGGTACAATTGAAAACAGCTGTAACTGTAGTGCCTGAACAAGTAAGATCAAGTGTGTTTGTTTGTTTATACATGTATTTATACGCCACCTATAACTGCCGAGGCCTTCCTAGGCAGCAAGTTAGAATGTTATATGCAGTGGAATGATTAATTGAATAAGCTATACACCCAGTTTATATGAAACAACCAACAGGTCAGAGCAGCATGAGAACAAGCAGGTGTCCTGCCCCTGTATGCCTACCACATCAGGTTTAGAAAACAAGCCATGGTCTGTTGTTAGCTTCAAACTCTGGGTTGTTTGAGTTCAGAGTTCTGGATTTGCCTATCACTTGGCACAAGTTGTTCCTTGGTTGTTTCTTGGTGGGCTGGAGGCAACTCATGTGTTTAAAGAACACTGGCTGGTCGAGTGAAAGTATTATTATTTCTGTATAATACCTCTTTGAATTGCGTTTAAGGCTTAATGAAGAAGCACGGAAGCTAGTAGCTGAATTGGGAAGTACATCCATCATGACCCTTGGCTTCAGAGACAATTGGGTTTTCTGTGGTGGAAAAGGAATTAAGACCAAAAGCCCATTTGAACAGGTTTGTTTTCAGGTTTATACTTGGAGATGACATGTATATTCCATAACGCATGACTAACCAGAGCCTTTTGCCTTTGGCCCCAATCACAACTGTAATGTGCTCCCCTAAAGCTTTTCCAAAATTGAATTTTCCTGTTGAACCAAAAGAGGCTCTAGACTCCTGCAGTTTTGGAATTTCTGTGTATATATAATTCCCCCTCCATCCACAATTGAAACAAAAATCCTGTTTTGTAGTCTGCGAAAACTAAAGTACTGCAGCTATAGTTAACAATGAAATTGTTTTCTCTTTGTAGCATATTAGAAACAACAAAGATACAAACAAATATGAAGGGTGGCCAGAGGTGGTAGAGATGGAAGGCTGCATCCCGCAGAAGCTGGACTGAAGGAACCATCCAATGGACATGTACAATGCAAAGAACAAAGGAGGGGGAAATGCACTTTCTGCTGCTATTAGGTAGAGGGTTCTGGAGGAAGAATACTGTGTATAGGCACATCTCCTCTAGGATGGTCCTTGCACAAGGCCCATAAAAATGGAAGGGAGACCGCAGGAGCACAATGAATCACTCCAATTCATTTAAATGGGGCTTGGACAGGAACATCTCCGGCTGGATTGTGGGCCATGTAAATACTCTCCAAGCATGTTTCCACCTTAGAATGTGCATGAGCATTGACATTTTTGAGCATCTGGCTTATTTATTGGTAAAACAGAAACAACCCTCTCTGCTTTCTTTTGTAAATAGGTCTCAAACAAAACAGTTATTTCTCAGCACCTGTCCCCCGCTCCCTGCCCATCTTTTTCTTGTTAACTTGTTTCTGAAGCACAACATCCAGGTTATTTTATGTTAAATGTCTTTCAGAATTACCATCATAGGTTATTATGCATACAAAATAAATGGCTGAACTGATGCTGAGCTATGTTGTACTTTGCTCCAACTATGATGGCATTACTGTGAGTTCGTCTATTTTTTGGGATATGTAATTTTAATCCCCCTCCAAAAGGGATAACAGATTACTTTTTATTCTTTGTTGCTCTGAAAGCAGCATTTTTTGCTATCCCCTTCAAACTTTCAAATAGGTAATGGCTGAGTGTTTAATACAAAAATGTAGGCCTGCTGTAAGAAGCACAATTGAATCTTTTTTATTAAAGCCAAATGTATAACATTGTGTGTGTTGCTGTGGCTAGATTATCTGCATCCCAGGCTTCTGGTCAGCAGTGCTTGACTGCTAGTAGAGCAGGTCCATGTGGTTGCTTCTTGTGTGTCTGTACTTAGTTAAACCCTTTTACAGTTCTGTGACCCACCAACCACATCAATTGGTTTCGGTAATACTGAAGTCAGAGAGGGAAGCTGGTGTTGGCAGTCAGCATGTTATCCCAAAAGTGAGTAATAGCGTGATAAAAAGTAGGTTCGTTTGTAATAGAAATTAATTTGGCATGAATTGTTCAGTCTAGACACCTGTGAAGCCTATCCTGCTATTATAAATTGAAGGATGGGGGAAGAATTCTATGGAGCACAACATGTTTTACAAGCTAATAAAACAGCCTATTTTAACAGAAGATTCTTAAAAGGCAAACCAAGTTAAAGCTTGTTTTCCACAGGTGTTTGGTGCTCTGGTGTTCTCTCTGGGCACACATTAAGCCATACACAAATTTTATCTTTTCCCCCTTCCCCTCCTCAAATCCTCAGTATGGCAGATACAAGCAATACAGAACCATGTTGCACATCCCATGGGTACCTGTGCTGCAGAAAATCCATGTTCCCCAGTCCAGCCAGCAGAACTGACTCAAGATTTAAGGAGCCTCCCCTCCTTCATGGGTAGACTCCCCACTCCCAGCAGGGGTTTTCCTACTGGCAGTGGCCATGCTGAGATCAATAAAGCACAGCTGTGAGTTACCTGCCATTTTAATTACACAAATGCTCCATAGCAGATAATAACTTCAGAAGAAACATGAAATCAATGTAATTAAAACTAGGAGACTTGCAGATCCAGCTGCCTGACATGGCTGGCCCAGAGATGGAGGTCAGCTGTGGTCCCTGCTGATGCCCAGAATCCAAAGGGCTATACAGGAACTTCCCCATGAACAATTTTGCATTATTGATATCAATGGATAGCGCTACCATGCTGTATTACCTACGAATTCCATTCCCTGCCCTCTCTCTTCCAACCTCCCTCCAGCTTCAGGAAGCAGACTGACAAGCACCTTTCCCAATTGGAAGGAACTTTGAGAAACCTGCTATAGGAAAGCTCCGGTGCATGAAGAGTATTTAAATATGACTCAGGTTCTTTGGGTTGTGATGTATAGCATTTCTTTTTTTGTGTGTGAGAGGGTGGGGATACTGCACCAGTATTTCACTGGTGCTTTTCCAGTGAGATACTGAGCAGGGAGTTTGCGAGTTACACACACTTCCACAGAGATGCTGTTAAAGAGATGTTAGCAAGGTTAGAAAGAGTTTTAATTTTGTGTCTGTTGTACAAGGCTCAGCTCAGAATTCTATATGTTGTTGTTGTTGTTGTTTAATCTGCACTGTTGGGTGGTATGGATATCCAACTTTTTTTTAAGGACCTTCTAAAATCAAGAGTTTTGCTTAGTAACTGGGAATTGTTGAAACTAATGAAATACTGTTTGCACTAAAGTTATTAAAGCAATAGGGGGAGTAATGACTTAATAGTTAAGAAAAACCACCCAATTTTCTTATGCCAAGAAGTGATTATTGGAATTTGAGGAGCTTTACTGTGTTAACTTCATGCCATGTTTTGTTGCCGCCTCCTTAATTTACTGTTGCAGAGCAATAAAAACACCCTAACTAGTCAAACCAATTACCTGTGAAATACCATGCATCCTCATCATTCATGTTCTGAAGAAATAAAATCACATTTCCATGTATATTTTTCATTAAATAAATTTTTTTAAAACCACAACCAAGCTGATATTTGCTGAAGCAGAACGTATTATATTTTGCATGTGAAGGACCAGTTCATGCAGTGCTTGCGGATGATGGGGCAGTAGTCCAGTATGTCCAGCAGGCACTGTATTGGGGGAGGCAGCTACACACACCTCAGGCAAAAAACACAAGATGGGACGTGAGCTTGCACATTATATAATACGCGGCATTTAAGTGTAAATGGACAACAGCCTGTGCCTCAAACAGCCCAAGCTGGCTATAGCTCTGTCTGGAGTATCCACACAGTGACACACCCCAAAAAAGGAGATTGATGTCATTGCCCCCTGAAACTCCATCTCTGCTCCTAGGAGACTTTCAAGTCACACTGGGCAAGTAATGCTGCACTTGTTTCCATGACACAGAATTTTGCCTCAGCTGCTGCACTCCCTGCTCCATCCTGCCCTTACTGTGCATCCCAGCAGGCCTTGCCTGCAAAATCCCCTGCAATACTGCATTGTTCCCTGTGGAGCTCAGCTGCCTCTCCTTGATTGGTCTACTGAGGTTTTGAAATGGGTTCTCCCTCTTCCCCTGTCCAAGTGCACCAGCATCTCTGTAGCACTTCCTGGCCACTCTAAGGCCAAAAGGTTTTAATTAAGCACTTCTGCTACAGATGCTCCCTTCTACCTCTGTGCACTCACCTGTTTTTTGCCTGTTTTGGGGAGTACTATTACTACCTTGCATGATAGCCCTTTTTTCTTCTTGCAGTGAATCCAAAGCAGTTTGCATAGAACTGCTGCTTTCCAGTTTCTCACAACTGCAACCCTGTGAGGTGAGTTAGGCTAGGACAAGAATAAGTGACTGGTCTAAAATCAACCAATGAGCTTCATGACTGAGTGAGGGCTAGAACTCCCATCTCCCACATCCCTAGTCCACCATGCCCTCACTGGCTCAGGGTGATAACCACAAAGGAAATGAAGATGAATGTGCTGTTAGGG